CTCTATCGAACAGTACCCCTTACCCTTTGTTGGTTGAGTATGTTTGCTTTGTTGAATCAAGCAAATAAAAAACGACATTATTTTTCTGACAACTTAATAGAATTACCCTTACTTTTATCGATTTTACTGTTTTTTTTTGCAAAGTTTGAGCTACGGGGCTGGGGGATGGCGAGGGAGATAGGAATACATACTAAATAATAGCTACTAAATCCAGTAATAATACTTGATACAAACAAAAGGAGTCCCCAAGATAAAAACACCGTTTGCTTCTAGCAGGTTTAACCTTTTCGTACTTTGAATACGAATTTTCTGGATAGAACATGATTCGTAGACATTTCTTCCCATGCACAACATACTGATCGCAAACAATAATCAAAATTCAGACTTTGCAAATATTCTAAAAACGTTTACACAAATTCTTGAATAACGAAACAGTCAATCCTAATCAGTTCAGTTGCTGTCATCTAGATTTTGGAATACATTCGGACACTAACACTTACATTTGGCTATAAAGTAAAACTGAAACTTCTCAGAATCAAGTATTTTTGTATGCTACTAGCTGGCTTACCCGGCTCCGCCCGGCACTGTCAAAACACTGTAGTAAAGGTCCCATGCCTATCTCTGTACTGCCTTTCCCTGCGCCCGCTTCTACACTTCATTTCCCTTTCCCTGTGTTGTTTTCGAAATCACCATGCCCACTTACCCCTCTGTACCAACTCCCAGCCCTTCAGCTCAAATTTGAAAAAATCGATAAGTCGATAAAAGTAATAGGTAGTACCAAAAACTAATATTGTATTCGTAATCAGCATGCTCGATTACCCCTCTGTGCAAACTCCCAGCACGTAGGCTCAAACATATCAAGAAATCAATAAAATCGATAAAAGTAATCAATAATTCTTAAAACTGATATATATTCGGAATTCCCATGCTCACTTACCCCCCCCCCCTCCTGTGCCTACTCCCAGCCCCGTAGGCTCAAACTTTTCAGAAAATCGATAAAATCGATAAAGGTAATAGATAATTCTGAAAACTAACATTGTACTCGTAATCAGCATGCTCGAATACCCCCCTATGCCAACTCCCAGCCCCGTAGGTAAACTGCGAAAAATCGATAAAAATCGATAAAATCGATATCGATCGATAATGAAAAGTAGCCTATGACACCCGCTCCTCCCCAAAGTGTATGTGCGCCAAGTTTGGTCCGGATCGGTTCAGAAATGGAATTTTCTATTCGGACCATACGTACAGACAAACAGACAAACAGACGTTCAGCTTCATATATAAGATGATGCGTCTCGCCGAGCTGAATCGGACTGTGTCCTCGGATTCAGAATTCGTCCATTCTGAAGCGAGATATGGCTATGACGATCATTCCGGCGCACTGCGGCGGAGTGTGGCGCACTCTGCCGCACTCCGGCGCACTCTGCCACACTCCGGCGCACTGCGGCGGAGTGTGGCGGAGTGCGCCGCATTCCGGTGACTTTTTTGACAATTTATGAGCGGTATTGTACTTATGTTGAAGCGCCGATATCTCAGTCTAGATAATTTCTATGAACATAGTGAGGCGTGCATAATGTAGACAATTTTACATACAATAGCTGATTTTTTGAAAATGCCATCATTCGCTCTTGAATTCTGGCCAGAAAATTGAATGTAACTAATTCCTGGTTTTGAGTGCGGTCGTTTTCTGTATACTTCTACCAAATGAAGCTAAAAGTCCGTTTCAACCATTACTAGATAGAGCATGAAAAGAGCCTCTTAATAGTAGCTAACAAAGGAATGGTCAGAAGTCGAAGTGCCCAATTTAAGCAAGCTGCCTAGCATTCGTTGCAGGATTCAACGCTGATTTTGTATCTGTATTTCATATTTGCTCAGCGCCTATGTGGGCGAAATTATAAGCCGTTAAAGGCCGTTCGCTTAGAGATTGTGCATGAAGCGCAAATTTGGCTGTGCTGTATGCAGCTAGGTTACTTTATACTCCCAAAGGCAGCGTCCAGGCAGTTTTGGACATATGCGGATCTCATGTTTTCATAAATTCACTTAGAATCATTGCTCACCCTGGCTTACTGGTCTGGTGAAGTCAAAAAGTATAGCCACCATCAAACCTTGGCTATTTGATAATCAAAATCATTTTGCTGGCAAAAGGGGGCATGGGTCCACCTTCATGGATCAAATTATTCTATTCTGATAATTATAATCATGGAGCAGTCAAATACCAAGCCTTCATCACACTTTTATCCAGATTGGACCCAAATTTCGTGATGCCATGTTGTTGCGGTTAAAGTATGTCGATCTTTCTTGATGTTTTGACGTTCTTCTTCCTACCATTTCTATTCCAACGTCTTTTTTCTACTCTACTGGATTTTTTGTTTTTATAGTCTACACTTAATGCATTATAATTGAAATGGCGCACTTATGTGCAATAAATATCAAATATCAAATGTGACCCTTTTAGGGCCCTAATTAAAATTTTATAACCCTAATTAAAATACGACCCCAGCGGCAGCTCATATGGTGTACAAACGGCTGAGATATTCGCCCTCAAACTGGACCCCAGGATCGTATTTCGCATGAATTCATGGCGAGACACACCAGCTTCGCGCGAGAGCCCACTTGTCGCGCCATGAATGCATGCGAAAAACGATCATGGGGCCCAGTGGGGGTGGATATCTCAGCCATGGGTACACCATATGAGCTGCAACTTGCGCTCTGTCCTAGTTGGGGCCCCAAAATTACTTTACACATAAAATCCCCATATGTCCACAACTGCCTGGACGCTGCCTTCCAAGCCTAAAAGTGTACTGAAAGAATGTGCTCAATCTCTCTGTGCTCAATGCTCAAGTGTACTCAACAATGTGCTCAATTTCATTTTTTTGTGGGATGTTTTCGCAATAAAAGTGCTTATAACTTCGTCCACAAAGGCGCTAAGCAAATATAGAGTACAGATCCGAAATCAGCGTTGAATGCTGCATCGAATGGCAGGCAGCTTGTGCTTGGATTGGCTTTCGACTTCTGACCATTCCTTTGTTAGCTACTATTAAGAGGCTTCATGCTCTATCTAGTAATGGTTGAAACGGACTTTTAGCTTCATTTGTTAGAAGTATACACAAAACTTGTTTTGAAACAAGGCCTAGAAAAAGCTCACTATTCCTACACCGACCGAATCATATAGAACACTAGCTGGCTTACCCGGCTCCGCCGTATCCGGACCAAACTTGGCACACATACACTTTTGGCCCCGGCGGGTGTCACAGTCCACTTTTCGTTATCGATCGATGTCGATTTTACCGTTTTTTATCGATTTTTTTGCAGAGTTCACCTACAGGGCTAGGAGTTGGCACAGGGGGGGGGAAGTGAGCATGGGGATTCCGAACACAATATTAGTTTTCAGAATTATCGATTACTTTTATTGATTTTATCGATTTTTTGTAAATTTTGACATGCGAGGCTGGGAGTTTGCACAGGGGGTAATCGAGCATGCAGATTACGAATACAATATTAGTTTTCAAGATCGTCCATTACTTTTATCGATTTTATCGATTTTTTGAAAATTTGAGCTAGGGGGCTGGAATTTGGCACAGGGGTGTAATCGAGCATGCTGATCACCCCCCCCCCCCTTGGGGATGATCTGCATGCTCGATTACCCCCCTGTGCCAACTCCCAGCCCCGTAGCTCAAACTTTGCAAAAAAATCGATAAAATCGATAAAAGTAATCGATAATCCTGAAAACCAATATTGTATTCGGAATCCCCATGCTCGATTACCCCCCTGTGCCAACTCCCAGCCCCGTAGGTGAACTCAGCAAAGAAATCGATAGAAATCGATAAAATCGATATCGATCGATGACGAAAAGTAGCCTATGACACCCGCCGGGGCCCGTAGTGTATGTGTGCCAAGTTTGGTCCGGATCGGTTCAGAAATGGAATTTTCTATTCGGAACATACGTACAGACAGACAGACAGACAGACATACATACAGACATTCAGCTTTATATATAAGATAACTAGGCCTGTGGATTTACACTATACACTACTAGCTGAGAGTCTATCTCAACTATCTTTTCACTTTCTTTTTCTTTTCTTCCCTTGCTTTTTCGTATGCTTACAATCTTCTTTACTACTGATGAGTTCCGAGATGATCGTATTCCCACCTTTTCCGTGTAGTGAGCAGGAACGAAACGGAAATTAGTTATCTCATGTTGCTTTATATTATGCCTGATAAAGCTAATATGAATTTCGTTGATACGAATGCAAAAAACAGTGTGTTAGTCGATTTTTCTTTGAATTATTCAAAGTATGGTAAAGACATTGTGCTCAAACATATACCCGGAAATCAGTGGCGTACCCAGGATTTCGGCTCGGGGGAGGGCGCGACAAAAAATTTTTTTCTAATGAAGGTGCGTGGCGTTAGCCACGCACTCCGAAAAAAATTTTGGGGTGCTTCTCAAAATTTTTGCGGGTCCCCAACCCCTAAAATCTGGAAAAAGGGTGGCGTCAGCCACGCCCCCAAAAAAATTTTTTACAAGGCTAATTTGTATTTTTGAAAATTTTCAAAAATTATTTTAATTATTTACAAGTAAAGACAAGTCCTTTGCACATTTTTATAACACATTTAAGTAACTTTCAAAATTTTCGCGACCCATTCTCGGGGGGGGGGGGGGTTGGGGGGCGCGCCCCCCCCCCCACCCCCTCTCGGTACGCCACTGCCGGAAATGTGTGCCTTCATTCATTTCATCTACATTTTCCTTGAAACGCCTCCATTATCTCAACTCCAATACCCACCTTAATGTAATAGAAACATTTTGTGAAATTTTACCACATCAATTCGGGTAAAGGAACGAAAGCCGCAAGTTTGAGCCCCCTTTCGCGGCTAACTGGTCCTTTCGCAACGTTGTTGCATGTCCCAGGACCAGCAGTCCGCGCAGGCGACCGAAGCTGGCGGCTTTCGCTCCCCTACTCCATCAATTCGGTCCAACATACGGCCTTTTAATTTTTCTTCAGTCTTCTTCTTTGCAATGGTTATCACATCCTGAAGGTCTGTGATTTTGGTACTTACACTACTTTGCATGAATCAATGACGATGGAAAAGGGAACACTTATTACAATGGCTCCTGAAGTTATTCGAGCTTCCAAATACTACGATGAAAAGTGTGACATTTACAGTTTTGGCATCATCATGTGGCAAATTATCGCTAGGCGGTTCGTTTTTTGCAACAGATGTATGATAATGCTAACTATCATTATCTCTTTCAGGCTTTCTCCGTATCAACAGGAACGTTATTATGTGATTTTAAATGTGGCGGAAAACATACTGCGACCACCGGAACTTTCTTGTGATCCTCTGCTTTCACGATTTTACAAAGCGTATGTGTCCACTTCTTACTACCAATTTGGATATTTTCTCGATTATTTGCGAGTCATCCTTTTCTCGCTTATTGACTAGCCTCTTTCTGGAAAGAAAACAGAGGGGAGCTATTAAGATTTGTGAAAGCTTACACTATCTAATCCTATGTATCTTGCTTCGCGATACTGATGGTGTCGTGGTGTTGCCCGAAGCACCTGAGTCGCGATGTTTTCGCAATACCAGCAAGAAAAAACCTTTTGCGATTTTCAAGAGAAAGAAATCAAGAGAGAATATTGCTTGAAGGCACCGTCCACCTAAGCTAAGGATCTTGAGCTATTGGCAGCATACGATAGTAAGACCCGTTATTAAGCTAACGCTCAAGTTGCGTCGCAGAATGTCGCTACGAAGAGAAAATTACCGCGGAGTAACGAAGAGGCACAAGGACCCATAGACGGCACCGCCCCTTCTCCGTCCAGTAATGCCCGCCCATCCGTGCTCGTCCATCCAACCACCGTTCGGAGTACCCTCCCGCGGGGTTGCCGAAACAGGGGTTGTTCTTTGTGGTTTCTCAACTGCATTATCAAAATCAGGGACATGGAAAGGCCCTGGAACTACAAAGATGGAAGTCGAAAGTCTGGGTGGAAGCCTTTATGCTTTGAGAGGAAGCGAGAAAAGCAGGCTTATTGCAACACAAGACATCATGTAAGGTACCAATCAAGCATGCTGCAATACATGAAGAAATCAAAAAACCTTCGAACTTCAAAGGCAGTGTAACAAATTTGGGTCTATAAATTTTTGCGAATCGCGAGTCTCGACCCTCTACAGGTTCTTCGCACGGAAACTCCAAAATCTCCGTTTTCGAAGGCCCCATAGAAGCAGCTCAGACGAGCTGTCCCGATCTTAGTGGCCGCAGGGGCGAACGCAAGAACGAGGGTGTTGTCTAGATAGATTTATTGAAACTTGATGGGAAAAGCACAATTCGTCCAGCGCCTGCTAAAGGCGGCAGACTTGAGCGCAATCTTGATCTAAAAGAGGACTTATCGATTGGGATTTGGACATCTCCTGATAAGGGGAGCCCCTGATGCCCCTAATGCCCCTAACGCCACTAATCTGTAAAAATCCATAGAGCTCGAACCTGGTGAGACACTGCCTTCAGGACTCCTTCTACGGTAAGTAGTGTCAGTACAAATGGAACCCTCTTTCTCAATCTCCCTTTATACATCCAATGCACTCCCTTTCTACCATCTGCGCACGAGCGCGCTGCTTGAGCACTTGCGAAACAAGCAACTGGTAACCATTACAAGAGAACAGTCGGTCCGTGGCCTTTTGAGATGAGATGTATACCATTCACACTCGACATGGAACGCCGATTCAAAATTTGATTCCCCTTTCTGCTGATCGTTTTTCTGAAAGAAGTTATGAGATATCATCGCGCCGCCAAGTGATATACGATCGGAGTGCTAATAACGCCATTACGCTGTGGTAGTTACTGCGATAACTCACATAATGATGAAGGCGTAGATTGTCCTCCTTTTCCGTTTTTTTTTGAGTTTGCATTGTCTCAATCAAACTTCTTTTCAAAAGTTAGACATTCCCAAGGTAAATGCATGACTTTACTCTTAAAATATAAAAAATTAAGAAATGAATACTATTTGCGCTAAAATGCATCAATTTATCATAATTCGAGTAAATTTTGAACAAAATAATCAAGCCTCAACAAGTGACTTTGAGCATTCCGACTGATTTCAAATCCCATTACAATATATTTTTCGAATGAATTGCTGGATCAGTGCGAGGAAGCCAACTGCGCAATCATTTTGCCTTGGGTTTCTATGACGTGGCTCCTATTAACATTAATATAGGAACTCAGACAAAAATTCGGCTGAGCGGCCCGCGAACCGAGCTGTCTTGCCAAGTGGGCACATATACGGATAAGTGCCGACTTGCCGGACCGGCGGAGCGCGAGCGGCAGGCATGAAAGATGCCGCACATGTCCGGACATGCGGCCGCTCGTGCTCAAAGAAGGTAATTCAATTCCGAGGCCGCCAAGACAAGTAAAGGTCCCGGAGCGAATTCGAGGAGCACAAGAGTTACGCGTTCGATTTGCAAGAAGTTCTTCTTAACTTTTATCGAGTTTTTCAAGATCTCCTTCGCATCGTTATTCTTTTCTGAATCTCTTCTCCTCATGTTTGAAAACTTTGATAAATGTTTTATATTGCGTGGTTTCTATAAAACTTTCGTCATTGTGGGTGCATTTCCATTGGAAGTAAGTATAAGTAGTATAGTAAGTATATGCAAGTAACAGTACTGCTTAATTCCAGGGCATCACGCTTATACACTCGATTGGTCAGCTTATTCTTGAATCTGGTCACTACGCGCTTAGGAGCCACCGACTTATTGATATTTTTCATCAGCTTAGTTTCAGTGCTTTTTCACGTGATAGAACCAAAAAGTAAAAATGCGGATCTTGCCAGAGCTTCCAGAAGGATTATTCAGGAAACTGGAACAAATATCATAATGACCTTGCTTGACAGCGTCACTGAGGTTATGTTATACGACCAACCCAAATCTGCGCTAATCTATTCTATGGGGGTTTTCAGCATGCAAAAAAAATTTCGAAAATTAAATATTTCGAAGATTCGACTATCAAATATTATTCGAAAATTGAAAACTTCGAATACTCGCCTTTCAAATATCATTCGAAGATTGGAAATTTCGATTATTCGACTATCGAATATTAATCGAAAATCGAAGATTTCGAATATTCGACTATCGAAACATTATTCAAAAATGGAAGTCTTCGAATCGAATAATATTCAAATATCGAATATCATCTGTTATTCGAATTTCGAATATTATCCTGTTCTCGAATATTATTTGATTTTCGAATATCGTCAAGTTCCGCATACTATTCGAATAATTTATTTCAGTCAGACTGCATACGAGAACCAAAACATCTAAGAATAAGTTGTTTCATGTATATATCAAAAACTGAGACTTTTCATGTTACAGTTTACGATGAAAAACGGTTTAGTGGTGACGTGAAGAGACTTAGAAACATAAAAGCGTACTCCTGTGACGGTTGTGAAGAGATTTTTCGAACTTTGAGGAAGTTTATATGTTCTCATTGAGACTCTGGATTGATATACAGGATGATAAAGTATATAGACAATATTTGATCGTTAATTTTTTTCCCACATCTTTTGCCGAACTTAGTTACTATTCTGTAGTTCTGATTCAGTTTGGAAAAGTATGAAGCAACTCATTGAGAGCGTTTCACTGCTGTAAGATTACCTTGGATAAACTGAAGAGGATTTTGGAATTGTGGGGCCATATTATGCCTGCGAAAGTAAATAAAAAAAACCACAATCGCATACATTGGGCTATTCAAGGTTACTGAGAATTAGTGCTTTGTAAGTTATGTCAGGTACGGTGTAACAAATTTTTTAATGTTTCTCAAAATGTGACTGCACATCAAAAAAGATCGAAAGATTCGTAAAAAGTTGTTAAACGAAATCAGCTCATGTAAAAACACTGTCAAAAGAATTTTGAGATTTTTTAGGAGTTGTGTAGTGAAGTCAACATACGTGAAAACGCTGTTAAAAAAATTTTTAGATTTTTGGGAAGTTCTTTCAAGCGGCTGATTCCCTAGTGGCTCTATGTGCTACAAGTTCTGTAAACCCGCAATAAGAGCAAGGGTGATCCCTGTTTTTCTTGCAGATGTAAGCCGGAGCGAGCTCTACGGAATGGCACCCCAAAGATTGGCAAAAGTCATTGTGTGAAGAGAGCTATTAGCGATCAAAAAAGTGAAGATGCCTTTGAGACATTCTGTATATGCTATAAATATCGAATTCTTAAATATTTGATGCTCAGCGAATTTTCGCATGGGCAGTGCTCATCGAATATTTGATGAACGTCGAATTGATTATTATCAAATATTCGACTTTCGAGTTATTAGGTCGTTTCAAAAGTAATTTCGCTTTTTTCAAACGGGCACCACATTTGATGGAACAAAGGTTTCTGAGAGATCTTGGAGGCATTCGATGCAGAATTTCATTCTCTTTCTAATGGTTATGAAAATGTTGCAAAACAATCAATGAGCTTTCAGAAAATAACCAAAACCTGCAATCCGTGCTTTTTGAAATAGTCAAGTTTCACAATTTTTTAAAACTTTCGCATCAATCCTCAGAAGAATTTCAAGTAACTGTTCGATAGAGCAAACCATATAAAATGCGGAACTACTTTTTTATCCTTTCCATAGCTTGTCATACATTTTTGACAGAATTTTAACTGATGCTACCGATTTTCATACTTGGGCAGCTAAATCCTCGTAGAACATCAAAGGAAGAGCAGCTCGGCCACTATTCGACGCAGCATCTTCATCTTTTTAACAGGTGGTTTTTGTTTCCGATTCGTTTAGTTTTCGGGAATAAAATCATCACAATTCATTTTTTAAGGAGCCTCATGCTGTACCTGAAAATCACGGAATTTGATATTTCGAACCCGTAAACCCTCACTTGCTTTGTGAAGTTAGTGCTAACTCATAGTACACTCTAGGTAGTCTCAAATTCCGAAAAATTATGATGTTTGCTGCGATTGTGGCTAAGGTGAGCCTGCCAAATCCGATGGTTCTGTTAAAAAATATATTAAAAAATTAAAGCGAGCTACGAGAAAGAGAAAAAAGTAGTACTGTATTCTATGAGGTTTACTCTATCGGATCGTTACTTGAACTCCTTCTGAGGATTGATATGAAAGTTTTAAAAAATTGTGAAACTTGACCATCTCAAAAAGCATGGGTCGCAAGTTTTGGTTATTTTCTGAAAGTTCATTGATTGTTTTGCAACAATTTCATAACCGTTAGAAAGAGAATGAAATTCTACATCGAATGCCTCCAAGATCCCTTGGAAGCCTTTGTTCCATCAAATGTGGCGCCCGTTTGAAAAAAGCGAAATTACTTTTGAAACGACCTAATATATTCGAAAGTTGAGATTTTCGAATATTCGAATATCGAGTATATTCGAAAACTGAAAATTTCGAGTATTCGGCTTTCGAATTTCATTCGAAATCTCAGATTTTCGAATATTCGACTTTTCGAATCACTCGCATTTGAATGGTTCGTTTGAATGATCGAATAATCGTTCGATTCGGTCCCAAGTACACTACCTATGAGAAACCAAAGCATTTAGGAATAAATTTTTTGAGGTAAGTTTCAAAATTAGACACTTTTTATGTTACAATTTACAATGAAAAAATGGTTTGGTGGTGAAATGAAGAGACTTAACCAAAAAGCGTACTTCTGGACGGTTGTGAAGAGATTTTTCGGACTTTGAAGAAAAGTATTTATCCTCATTGAGGGCTGTGGATTGACATACAGGGGTCACAACAGTATATGAATCTGTGGGCTGACATCAACTTAGACTTACAGTATGGAGCGATTTATCGATCGCTTTTCAGTGTTGTAATTTTACCGTTAAAAATTGAGAAGGATTTTAAGACGTCAACAGCTGTTTGCCCAAGAAGAAATCAAAAAGGCCGATCTTACACTAACTTCTAAAGACACTATATAAAGAATTTGCACTTAACCGTAATGCTTCTTTTACAACTTATGCCAGGTACACCGTAACAGATGTTTTCCAACGCATTTCAAAAACGTGATTGCACATCTGAAAAACTTGAAAACTCGTGCATAGTTAAATTAGCACACCTGCTACATAGATTTCAAATCTTTTTTTTGTGAAATTTTTTTTTGGATTTCTCATTTCGCAATTTTTATATATGCTGGAAGTTCATACCGTAGTGACACAACAAAAAAAAAACATGGGTGAATCGCTTTTTGCTATATTTGTAAGCTGAAGGCATTCCTACAGGATGTTACTTAGAGGTTGGCAAAAGACTTCTTGAAAGATATTAGCCATCAAACAGTGTTAGATACTCTTTGGACACCCTGGATATCGAATTCTCGAATATTCGATGCTTATCGAGTTTTCGAATTTCGAATATTCGGTGCTCATCGAATATATGAATATTCGATGGACATTGAATGATTGATTTAATGACCATGGAATATTCGCTATCGAATAACATCCAAAAATTGAGATTTTCGAATATTCAACTTTCGAATAAAATTCGAAATTGAAAATTCGAATATTCGACTATCGAATATTATTCGAAATCTCAGGCTTTCAAATATTCGAAGTTTCGAATCATTCGCATTCGAATGGTTTATTAGAATAATTGAATAATCATTTGATTCGGTCCAAAGTATAATAAGCAATATGTCAAGTGATAGGAATATGATGCGAAGGAGACGTATACTTCAGCGACGTTCGTAGTTTATTTTAAAATAAACAGCTTGGGTTTGAATTCGATGCCTCTTCATATCTGAGAGTGTAATAAAACTCTTTATCATTTTTTACGATTTTAACTCATAGAATATCAATATGGCAACAAACGGTTATAACAAAGTGCTTCGAAAAGCTGATTCCGCTCGGCCGGTGATGGTTCGCAGATTGCTCGGCTTTTGTCGGACAGCGCATAGCAATGGAACGACAAAAATCGAACGGCCCGGCAGAACTCAATCCCCTTGCATGGTGTTTGCTGGCCGCTCAGCCGACATTTTGTCTCAAACACTCATATTTAAGAGTGTGGGCATGCATTTACCTTAAGGATTCCTAACGTAATAGCTTAATTGGGACAACAAAACTAAGAACGCAAAGGATCCGAACCTACACCTACATTATTTTGTGAGGCTATCTCTAAGCATCATACCGCAGCTACCGTCATTGACGTTCCGATCGCGTTCCCCTTGAACGACCAAACTTAGCACAAATATCCCTCATTACTTTTTTCAAGGAACAATTTGCAGAAAGAAGTCAGATTTGGAAGTGAGGCAAGTGTGGTGGTATACATATCATCTTAAAAAGCAACGGACACCGAATATCCTTTCCTTGTTAGATCAGACAATTCTTCGGTGTTTTTCTTTCCGATCAAATCTATTAAATTTGGTACGTTGCTTACGTTTGATTTGCCTAATGAGTGAATACATAACTTCAGTTTGTAGGATTCTCTATCCAGAGTCTTATGACGCTATTAGGAGGCTGGTAACAACTTTGAAAACAATTGAAACTTATTATGTGACAGCCTTTAGTTCCAATAGTTGTATAATCCATTCATTCTTGATGATCATGTTGCCATTGCATACGCAGTGCGCTTTGCCGTCTCTATCCTGGATATAAGTTTGATAAGATGCTAAAGATTTGCACATTTTTACAGCCTACATCATTTTGAGAAGATTTTATTTGAAAAGGAGGGAAACGGGAAGAAAAGTAAAATACCACTCTCATTGAGGTCCGTATGCATAAGCATCCCTGGGACGAAGAGAGCAACATCCTCTTTATGAAGGGTCCGCGCGCAAACGCCGCTGCGGCTTTTTTTAATCATTGGGGATGCCGCTCCTCATGCTACTCACGGAATGCAGACGGGACTTAGAGGGGTTGATATGTTCAAAAGTCAGGATGAAGACTACACAGGTGGACTTCGTGTGCAAACGACACATATGATCATATGAATTGACAAGACTTTATGATTTATGGGCACTATTCCAACTAGTTGACTCCAAAAAAAAGAGAACCATGGATTTCCTAACTTCGCATAGGGTGTTATTTTGCACGCTGAACACGAATACCACATTTATTTTGCACAGCATTGTGATATGGTGGAGCTACGGTAGGATTACGGTAGGGTTTGAAAGCACAAGCTTCGATTCCTACCGCAGCAGCATTTTCCCGGGTTACGGTGGTACAGTGGATGAGTCAGAACTCTGAATTAGCTCAAAACCTTGCCTAGAGGGTTCTTGAGCATGCTGGATACAAATATCATACTCCTTCGTTGAACAGCACCTTCTTATGGACACAGTGAGCTACAATGTGTAAATGGACAGCATGTTCGCTTTTCAGCCCACTTTAGATCCCAAATTCACGAAAAGGCTTTATCATGCGAAATGAGCGCGACATATGTGGTCGGCGTGTCAGAACCCTCTGCACAAAGTTTCAGGCAGGTCTATCACTTTGGCACCTATCGTACTCCTACCGTATTCCGCGAAAAGATCCCAAAGCACAAAAAAGTAGAATAATTGTAATCAGCATGCTTAAAGGGCACCATCCACCCAGATTCTCGACTTCCGAGCTTTTGTCGTTTCAGGGCATTCTCATACCCACAGGACGGCTTTTCGGAACGGTGATCGGATAGACGCGCACGGATGAGCGGGCATGAATGGGAGGGCGGTGCCGCCTGAGGGTCCCCGCGCATCTTCGTTTTTCCGGGGCGATTTTTTCGCTTCCGAAGCGACATTTTGCGCCGCGACTCGGGCATTGGCTTGATAGGGAACCCTACTATCATATGCTGCCAGAAGCTCAAGACCCTCAACAAGGGCTCGGCACAGCTGGCACCGGGTCAAGCTGGATATCGTTTTTAGGGCGGAAAGCAAAGGGGATATCGTTTCTCCGTGGTCCGGGCGGAGAAGAGCCGCAAGAATGCCGCCGGCAAGCCACCTGCATGCGTCCATCAAACAAGCAAAGGCGTTGTTCTCAGCCAAAACACAATAGTATGACACCAAACTTGGTGTGTACATGCGCGGTGGAGGCTCTGAACTATGGCCCAAGAATTAATGAAAACTTGAGTGAATGAAAGCTGTGCTGAACTTTCTTTTAAATTGGCTGGCACCGACACTTTGCTCACATAAGTTTTCATACTTTTTTTACATAAGATGTATCTACACTGTAGAAGTTTACATACAAAGAAACAATTTCATAATGTTTTCTTTTCAGCATTTTACCATCTGAAAATTACTTGGTCTGCTCCGCAGTCGAAAAATCGGCCTTCTTAACTTCTCAGGATGTGATTCAACCACATGAAAAGCTCAGAAAGCTTTGAAAAGTTGTTCCATAAAATCTGCATGCATGAAAACCCCATTGCATACTTTTACATAATCCAAAAATAATGGTTTTCAAAAAGGTCAAAGGGGACATCGTTCGAAATTTTCAAGATCAAACGGGACTTCCTTTTTTAAAATTTCCTAGGTGCCAGCTCCTGCCGAGCCCTGCCATCAACTTAGGGCCTTTAAGAACTCCTCTAAACAACGTTTTAAACAGATTTGAAGTTTTGATCCATATACCGAATACCCAACCCTGAAAAAATGGCGCTACCTTACGAAATGAATATGATATTCATTCGAGGCGTGTCAAACTTTTGTGAAGCCGTCTAACGCCCACAATCATCCTGGAAAATGTGTCCCCGCCCCTCCACCGTTTCCTCGAAGGAACTGCTCGGAGCGCCACTACTTCCACCTACTATCTGAAACAAAGTATGCAACAAAGAAAGACAGGGGCCTTCAGGCAATTATGCACGTATTTTATCTTTTTTTGCAAAAGAATGGCACTGTACTACTAAGTTACTATTTGAACGCAATATCCTGTGAAACGAATTCAACTGTTGTGTTCTTGTTAGGTGCTGGGATGGCGACCCAGATGTGCGTCCCAACAGTGAGCAAGTGAAGCAGTATTTTGCCATCTTGAAAAAAGTTTGTTTTGCTGTTTTAGACCTGAATATGATAAGTTCTGAAGATATTGTGCTTGTCTCTAGGCTTTTCCAAATGACAACCGTGATCTCATTGGTACCAACGCAAACGGGCATGCGGTTATTTCCCAGCTAAAATTGGTTAATTTTTTGTCGCTATCTTATAGTGCTAATTTTTTGTCAAAAATGTTTTTTGAGTACATTGGAGGAATTCAGGCTACTCCGTTCACACCGCAACATCGACGAGCTCGATCAGATCCCTTCATCAGTTATGTGCGTATTATTTACGTTTACAGAAAAGTCAAAGATTCCGAACTTTGAAGAATCGACGCTCGTCTCTTCTATGTGCAGATTTGGCTTCAGCCGGTAGCATGGAGGATGTATGCCCAAATCCAGAGAACACTGGTGTTGGTGATATAGAACAGGCCCAAAATGAGAATGTAGAACATGATCTTCCTCCCGGGTTTATGCGACCATATCTGCGATCTCTTGGGTGAGTTTCAAAATAGTCTTGGTTCTTATAGTAGAAGTACTTCTGTGCCAAACAGGTTTGTTAGGTGTTCTTTTATTTCCAATCACGGCCTAACGTTTCGACGCCTTTCGTCTTCCTCAGAGGCCTGAAAATGGCTCAAAGTGTTACCCGAGAAACGAGGCCATCAAGTACCATCTCCATTCCTGCTAGTTCTCAACCTTCGTTCAACATTCCTACCGCAAAAACTGCTATGCCAGAAGATGAACATACCCTGTGAACACCGCTATTTAGGATTCCGCACCGGAAATGATGGTCTTGGCGGATAGAATGGACTATACCATATAAGCACATAAGTGATCTACAGTCTGCATAGAGATATGAAGGGGAGGAAGTCCGTGGTAATTGACAAACACTCATTTTTATTGTTCATTGCTGGATTCTTCGCAGAAATCCAGAATGCTTCTAACGCCTTCCTCGCCGAGGTTTCCTTCTCATGTGCCAAGATTTGGCATTTGATATTGAAATCGGCTCCACCATGCGAATCGTGGCTATGTTTGCCCAAAGGTGAAAACAATGTTTTACGCCTTTTATCTGCAAGATGTTCTTTTAAGCGAGTACTAAGTGTTCTGCCGGTTTCTCCGATGTAGATGGCATTGCAGCTAAGACATTCTAACTGATAAACCACTCCCATTTGTGCACAATCACCTATTTTGCCGTGCGGACAGACTACGCATCGATTAGTTATACAGTATCGATCGTAAAGTCTGTTTCGAACTAACTGCGTTTTGATATTGTCACCTGGGATGTCGACTAAAACAATATCATTTTGCAGTTGTGCACGTGAAATACATTTTCGAAATGCCGCACTGATGTTATCGGAAATAAATGGAAGGCACAGTGGGAGCTTATTATCGCGGATTTTGTTACTATTCGCCTGGTGTTGATCATGTGGCGAAGAATGGTAACCGTTGCTGCAAGCAATCTTGGAGGCCAGATCTCGCGACTCGCATCGTTCTCTTTCTCCGGAGCACATCTGCATAGCCGTTTCAAACATATTCTTGATCACCGCTCTTTTCATAGATGCAGGATGCGCTGATTTAACATTCAAAAGGATGTTCTTCGAGCTTTCTTTGCGGTACCATTTCATGCTAACAATACCATTGGATAATCTTACTTGCGCGTTGAGGTAAGGCAGCCATCCGTCGTGTGGTGTCTCTCGTGTGAGCTTTATGTACTGCGACTGCTGGTTCAAAATTTCGAAACACTTGTCCATTTCGGACTGTGTTGATGTAAATATACAACAGTCATCGATATACCGGCAGTACATTAGCGGCATGCGGGCTAGCACTGGTTCTTCGATCTTACTCATAAAACAAATGGCGAGAACCGGCGCCAACCTCTGACCCATAGCTAATCCGCGTATCTGGGCATAGTAAGTCCCAGACCATCTAAAGATGTTGCACTTCAAACATTCGCTTATAAGGGTCATAGTCCGCCTTTTGCCAAGCCCAAAAGTATTGATGGTGGTTGCATGTTTATCCAACAATTCCGATAGCGCTTGCAAGGCTTGTTCATTCTGCACATTAGCGTAGAGCGAAGTCACATCGAATGACTCGACTACAGTGCTCGGATCAAACTGAGCGCTTCGGACTTTTTCGATAAATTCACGAGAGTTGGATAAATGTGCTGGAACTTTGGGAAGCAACTGGCTCACTATCTTGTTCAAGAACCACGAAATTCGATCGGTGGGACCGCCAACACAACTAATAATAGGTCTAATTTTGTAAGTATCCTCTGACATTGAGCTCATGTCCCGCAAAGAAAGCTTGTGCGTCTTAATCAGGCTGTAAAACACCGGACAACTTGGACATCTGAGTTTCAACCTCTTTATGAATCTGTCGTCAAGTCCGGCAGATTTTGCTATCACGGTCCAAGCGTCATTCAGTTTTCTACACTGAGATCGGAAGTCTTTCGCAGAAACTACTCTGTACGTTGTGGTGTCCGCTAGATGAGCTGTTGTTACTCGACGATCCAGTTCTTGAGGCATTACTACGAATTCGCCTCCCTTATCGCTTACAGATAGTCGCACCGTGCCGTTCGAGATTAGCTCACGTATCTCTTTAAAACCTTGCCACTGTTTGGGTGTAAGGTTATTCTGATGTTGATGTTTTACTCTATTCAAAACTTCGAAAACACCAGAGCATAAGAGATGGAACTTCATATCTATCTCGGGGACGGGTGATGGTTCTTTGTAAAACGATTGAGGGAAGGGAATGGTCGGTAGTAAGCTGTTATTATCGCGAGCTGCATCTGTTGGACTGCCGTATTTGGCTTTCAGTCTAAGAGTGTCTCTGAGCTTGTGCAAACTTCCCACTATCTTGCGGCAAGTCATAGCGTTGATATTCTGTGCAGGGGAGAACGAAGGACCAAGGCTTAGAAGCTCGTGATGTTAGAAGATAGTTGAGTGCTGCCAATTATCGTGACTCTAGTTGTTACTTCATTCTCAGATGCAAGTCCATTGGAGCGGTAGCAGGGTTTGCTACTTCTGTCACATGAACAATTTCTGCAGAGTTCAGTCAAAAGTCGGTCGTACTTTGCGCGGAGTTTGGATTTGATTCTAGACCGCATCGAATCACAGATTAGCTTTGACCCATCCTCAATCCTCCTCCAACGTTCACCAGGCATGAGACGTTTACAAGCTTGTTCTTTTGTGCTACATTTCAACAAGGTACTATACAATGATCTCTGTTTTTCTTTGATGATAATCTTCAGGATAGATTGATAAATCTTCACAATCCTCGGATCATTTTCGCTGAGATCGCAGGTATATCCTAATTTCTTATCCTTGATGAAATTAGGCAGCACATTCGTTTTCTGGCAACGTCGGAGGAATATTAAGGATTGGCGAGTAGCTATCGCTTTTTGTCGTAGCGACAGCGTTTCACGTGTTAAGCGAAACATATTCGGCGGTAAGTCTTCTAATAATTTAACAGTTTCGTTTTCTTTAAACCTGGGCATAATTCGTAGGGTATGTTACAGCGTATGTTCATCTTCTGGCATAGCAGTTTTTGCGGTAGGAATGTTGAACGAAGGTTGAGAACTAGCAGGAATGGAGATGGTACTTGATGGCCTCGTTTCTCGGGTAACACTTTGAGCCATTTTCAGGCCTCTGAGGAAGACGAAAGGCGTCGAAACGTTAGGCCGTGATTGGAAATAAAAGAACACCTAACAAACCTGTTTGGCACAGAAGTACTTCTACTATACGAATTATGCCCAGGTTTAAAGAAAGCGAAACTTTTAAATTATTAGAAGTCTTGGTTCTCTTCTTTGTTTTTTTTTTAAACTTTCTCCCAAACAACAGATTCTAATAAACAGTAGAGTAAGTAAATAAGTAGAGTCCTCTTCATATTTTACACTCATATATCCAGAGGAAATTTTGTTGAACGAATTTCAGCCGAAGAAGGAATCCATGGAATCCACAAGATCCTTTCCTTCCCAATCCACTCCTCTTTGTGCAGCGGCTGTTTCCTAACTTGGAGGGCGCGATTACACGGTACACGATTGCTATGCATATATCGTCTGTCCCCCACAATCCTCATAAGGTACATTCGAGTAGATTTGCCGCTTAATATAGTATGCTTGCACAGAAGGTGAAATGGGGTGATATTTGCGCGTGAAGAAATAGTTTAAGTTGTGACGCCGGCCATTGCAAGCACACTAATTAAGCGGGGAATCTACTCGACTGTACCATCAACTAGCTGTCTTTCGATTGTTTCAACATTTCAACTTCTAATAAGCGCCTTAGATTTGCTGGAGTTAAAGGCAGCGTTCCGGCAGAGCAATGGATACGGGGATCTTACAACGTTGCAATGGTACTCTAAGTAACCTAACAGTGAAGTCTGAAGCCAAAAAGTGCGTCTGGAAAGCTGAACGCTCCAGAAATCTCGAACTTCTTATTCCGTACCCAGCCCACCGACACGCGTTTTACGGCGAATGCGGACATGAAAAGCTTAGGAAAAGCTTTTTTGCCATCTTCTGCGTTGAGAAGCCCAGATATGGTTTAGCATGGCAAGAAGGCTCCGAAGCGGTGGAAAAGTGGAGAGCGAAGTTTTGCTGGAGATGCTTTTAAGATGTTAAAACGATCGAAAGGCAGCCACATAGATGATAGCTATGGAAACATTTCTGGGGGACAAACCATATCATTCATTCCCTGACTAACAAGCGAACGATACTCGGTGTCCGTGGCCTTTCAAGATGAGAGTTACACTCGCCTTGGAACGCTGAATCCAAACCTAACTTCCGTTTTGCTGTTTCTGAAAGATGTTATGAAGGGTTTGCGCGGCAACTTTGGCTGCCCGAGAAAAATGTGATTGGAACGTCACTATTACCAGGGCTCTGTGGTGCAGTGGTCAGTGCGACAGGCTCACTGGTTGATGCAGGTATAGGTTCGAGTTTTTTGTGTTTTCCATTTTGCATTGCATCAACTAAGCTTCTTTCTGAAAGTTAGGCAACCGCGAGATAAATGCACCCCTTAAGGGCCGGGCATACTTCACGCGATTTCAGTCGCGACGCGACTTGGCAATTCTCCAGAAGTCTTCGGATCCAACATTAGCAAACTGCACATGCATAGTGTGTATAACTTACGTAAACTGATGAAATGCCCTATCTTCTGTACATTTATAATGTGCTTACAAAGAGTTATGGACACTTAAAATATTGCCAAATGCGTCGCGATTGAAATCGCTTGAAGTATGCCCGGCCCTTTACTTCAAAAAATGTGGAACATTGGGAAAAAATTGATTATGATTGCGTTAAAATATATCAGTTGATCACAAGACGAGTAAACTTACTCGAACAAAACAAACAAGCTTTAACAAATATCATGTAGTAAGGTTCTTTTTGAATGTTGGGCATCCTCGAGGTGAAGGCATGCTCTTACTCTCTGAAAATCCAACGAGGAGTCATTTTTTATGAGTGTTTCCTATATTCATTCTCTTATTGATAGGGTAAACGATAAAAATGGGACACCTAGAGGATAGTTGTAGATTTCTCAAGAAAGAAAAGTGATTAACCTTTTAAAATTTGATAGTCATTAGGATATATTGTTCTCTTTTAAACAATACCTATATAAGGTCTTTACATGTATGATAATTTTTATACTGGCTGAAATGCAAAGTTAATCACTTTGACAAATCAAAACTTCGAGCAGTATCTGTGCAGTGAATGTGAGACCACCCATAGTACCACTGCTGCAATGGGTGAAGGTACAGTCACCAAACCCACAAGGGCTTGCTAGCCTCAACGAAGCCAGGGGATAAGGTCATTAGCATTTTTTTCGAAAGCGAGGATATGTGTTCACTGCCTTGTAAGTAAACGCATGTTTTTTGGTTACCATCTGAAGAGCTCTTTACGCTCTATCCATCCATAAGCAGTTTACCTTAAATTTTCTATCCTTGGAAATTCTAAATTGAAAATTTTTTGGTTTTTGTTGCACCAAAAAATCGCGATTTTCCAAGTTTTTTGTACTTTTTATCTGGAAATAAAAAGAAATCCTATATATTTAAAAGCCCATTCGAAAGAGCATGAAAAGCTCTTTCGAATGATATGTCACTTGATTCATGACTGCAAGGTATAACAGCGCAAGAATGAGAGATGTTCAAAAAATCCAGTTCGAGTTCATCACGGCGCCCCGCGCAAGGCTGTGGGAGAGGAGCGATAATGTGTTACTAGAATAATAGGCGAAGCTCGCTTATGTAAGCGACGTTCAAGTTGTAACCTGCTTGCTGTTGATCGAAACAAAAGATCTCAAAATGTAATAAAAATCAAGCTGTCTCATTTTTTACCGCCCACCCTGATAGAAGGCATCTATAAAAATGAAAATGAATGGAAAGTGAACGTATGTTAAACACAGTTTGGCTTTGGCCATACTTTGCCCGTGTTGCCGATGTTACCAATGTTACCGGTGTTGCCGATGTTTCCAGTGTTACTCGTGTTACCATTTTTATTGCTGTTGATTCTCGAAATGATCGCCAGTACAGTTTTATTCTTGAACGCAGTCTCGCTGAGTTGAGTATACAGGATCTGAGGCGATCATACTGCAATAATAATACCATGCTAGAAACCTGCTTTAAAAAGTTCTTTTTTCTTTTTTCTTTCAGTTTTTTCTAAGTTTCAGTTTCAAAAGTTTTTTTTCAAAGATGGGAATGTGCTCCCTTCTCACATACGGCCGCGAAAATGATGACACGTCCGAGGACAAGGTTTCCTAAAGTTCGATCAAGGCGTCCAAAACGTTAGCCAGTACGTTAGAGCTCATTGTGCTACAAATCAAACAATATGATTATATTTGCGTCATAAAAACTTTTGAAGCAAGTTTCTAGCATGATATTATTATTGCAGTATGATCGCCTCAGGTCCTGTATACTCACCACTCAGTGAGATGCGTTCAAGAATGAAACTGTACTGGCGATCATTTCGAGAACCAACAGCAATAAAGGTGGTAACACGAGTAACACTGGAAACATCGGCAACACTGGTAACACTGGTAACATCGGCAACACGGGCAAAGTATGGCCAAAGCCTTATGGAAATCTATGACAATGTGGTTGGAACATAGGATTTTATTTATTTACTCAATATGCCCTTGGCGTTATAAAAAAGAACGAAAACACGCAGTCACTTATACTTTAATCACGAAGTTCAACATATAGTTTGGATTGGATCGAAGCCCTTTGGACTGGATTAGTTAAAATTTGATGAAGGCCCAATCTCACCAAACAGTGTACCAAGGAGAGTGCGGTGACTCTAAATGAATAGAAGCAAGGGTTGTAGTGAATGGATATCTCATAGTTGCTCGCAATGAGCGCACCGCATAAAGAACAAGTCGTTGCCGTCGGATTCCTTGCGGATCAAAAAGTACAAGTCATGCTCAGATTTCGGGATTTTTGCGAGATACGAGCATTTCTAATCCCATAAAATTTTGAACTGGAATAGAACTGCATAAAAGTTTTGAAACCTCGGGTTTGAAAGGCCCCTATTAAGCAACATGAATGAGCTACACACTCTACATTAGATTAGCTGCAGGTTCAGACAGGTCAAGCAGGAGGAGTGCGATTGGTAAGACGTGTTGAGTGGAGGTGGAACCGGTAAAACGTCCAGCGCGTGCAGGATGAGGGCCCTGCATGCTTTGGTTTGGAGCATTTTTGAAATCGAAGTCTGACTGGCGAAATTTTAAAAAGTTCCCATTTGACGTCAGAATCAATAGGGAATAGGACCCTTATTCAATCAAAATAACAATAAAAAGGGAACAAAGCCTATTCTGAGTTATCTAATGTACAAAAAAGCAAAAAAACATTTTGAATTTATTACAGGCTCTATTATTGAATATGGTACCATTTTAGAGCTCACTATGTTGAAAAACCTCCTAGGTCAATCAAATCTGTAGCCTCATCAACTTGGAGATGTATTATTCGCCACAAAATTTAAAGGACGTTGCATGTGATTGGAGCGCGATATCTATCAGTGCGAAGGCTTATGCTAATTTTGGCTCAAAAAAAGGAGAGGCAATAGTTTGATTCGCTTTCTTCACTGTATGATAGATATTCGAGCTTTCTAATTGATCAACTGAAAAAGGTCCAAAACTTATGTGAACTCTCTGATATTTATGCTCCGAAGCAACCCAGCTGGTTTGGTATGTGTTCGAAACCAACAAATTTGGAAACGGGTAGGACATAGAAATTTTTTTTCATATAATGTTGTTTCGAGTAATATTGCATACACGAAGCCCAAATCGGTGCCCAGTTTGTGCGATGTAAAGAAGCATCTGCTTGTTCGAGTCTTGCGTTTGAAATTCGAGCGCTTGCGAAAGAAGGCGTTCACCTCGCAAAACCTGAATGCTTACCTCTTTTTGGAGTCCCTCTCAAGACCTTACAAAAACGATATCCCATTACTTTTACCCCAAAAATAAAGTCCAGCTTGACCCCAGATTATCTATGCCGAGTCCTGTGCAGGATCTCCTCACGCGCCACTTTGAGTGTAGTACTCTTGATGTAGAGGAAACCCCACTCAATGGGACTCGGTCAGTGGCCTAATAAACAGGTTCTCTAGCTAAATCTTCAAAAATTGATCTAACATAAATTTGCCGAGCCACTATCTCTATGGCTTGTTTATTTTGTTTGAGTAAATTTACTTCAAGTGTGATCAGTGAATACATTTCAGGGCAAGTGTAATCGTTTGTCCTAATATAAAGGAAAAACAATTTTATGTTTGTTTGTCTCCGTTTTTTCCTAATTTTCCACATTTTTTGAAGGAGGTGCATTTATTTCGAGGATGTCTAACTTCCAAAAAGAAGTTCGATGCGATGCAAATTGAAAGACACAAAAGAATTCGAATCCACACCTACATCAACTAGTAAGGCTATCGCACTCACTACTACACCACAGCGCACTGTAGTACTCTGCCCCAGTCGCAATCAGGCCGAATCGTTGGCTGGATTTGCGCGCACGCAGCGTCACTACTTTGCGCTGCATACGCGCACTGTAGGAGAGAGTGAAGAGACCGAAGAAAGATCAGGCAAGCAGGTCTAGGCGTGACGCCAAACCTTGCGACGCGGACTCCCGCCATGCCAAATTTG